CAATACATTCTTGCGAAGACAAAATGAGAATCAGAAATCTGGAGATCAAGAATGAGCAAAGACTCAATGTCTCACTATCTAATATACTCACAGAACTAAAGATGAGCAAACAACCCCCCCCCCCCCCCGCCATGGCACGGGCCGGGCCACCCTGGCCTCCGTGCTTTGGCGACAGCCCAGACACGGCCCTCTGGGCCACTTTTTGTGCCATGTTGGCCTGATGACTCTGGTTTAGGAGGCGGGGCCAGCCTGTGGCCCACCAAGTGCCAGCAGAGACTGTTCTTAGTCGTACCCACCAGAAGAGCCAGAGAGAGGGAGCGGCGATGGGAAGGAGAAGCAGCCGCGGGAGGTGGAGGCCGGATCCGCCGTGTAGAAGGCCGGATCCTTCTCCTTCCTCGCCCTCTTCTTCATCGCTAGAGCTGGAGGCCGTCGGCGCTCGAGGCCGCTCCGCTCGAAGCCGCTGCCGCCGGGCCGTGGAGGAAGAGGGCGAGGGGGCCGTCAGCAGTGTGGAGGAGGCCGCTGCCCATTGGCTTCCCTTGCGCGGTGAGCCAGCGACACAGACGAGGTGAGCGGAGGGTGGAGTGCGGCGCCTGTGAGAGTGCGAGTCTGCGCGGCGCCTGCGAATGTGTGAGTGCTCATATGTTGCACCACCCACCGGACCTTCCTCTAAATGTCGGGCCGTTCGGTACGTGGCGCCCGCGCGTGCCTGAGGTGCAACCTAGGCATGGCCCTATGCACCGGGCCGGGCCAGCCCGGGTCCGCATAGCACCGGGCCAGGCCTTGCTTGGCCCGGGCTAAAAACCGTGCTTTGGGCCGGGCCACTGGGCTGCAGGCGATATCCTCATATATACACAGAACTTGTTTACACATTATACATTATAGCATTAGCCGGATACTTGACAAGCCAAAACAGTAGAGAGGGGGAAATTAAGATTGCAAATCAAACCAGTTTGAGCTGGAACAGAGCTTAAACGCAACAGATACTGGAAATGAGAAACACAAGAATCTGGGTAGTTGGATAACTATCCAACGAAACAGGGAACAAACACTCAGGCATAATAACATTTACTAGTAGAAAACTACAAAACATGCTTTCATTCGGTAGCATATCCAACAAAAACGAAAATGAAATCTCTCTGAAAACTGAAACCATAACATTGCATAACAATGGCATTCTCTAGGAAAACTAGTACTCCCGTTCTAAATTATAAATTGTTTTGACTTTTTGACATAAAAAAAGTCAAATGTATAACTTATAATTTAAAATGGAGGAAGTACATTTTATGAGTGTTTGCATTGGCTTGTTGTTTGTTTATGGAAGCGATACGATCCATTTTCATGATGTCCAAACCATTTTCAATTATTCTTCGGCGCCGCACCGCAATTAGTAGCTGCACCTTGACGTGGTCCGTGAAAGGATAAAAAAAGAAAAGAAAAGGAGAAAATGACCTATTAGCAGTAGGGTTACAGCAAAATAGTCCTAAGAATGAATCGCCATGAGATGTGGAAATAAAAAAAAAGAGTTGGAAGAAGGGATGTGGAAATAAAAAACTATAATGATTCTATGAGGACGGTGTCCTCAAACTCACGTTCGGACGCTCCCCGTGACCCCACTCCTATCCCGCGACCGCCCCGCTTCCCCATGCCCCCCACTCCCATCCCGCGACCGCGCCTGCTCTGCCCGCTCGCTCGCTGCCGCCCGCGCCGCACCGTGCTCTGAGCCTGCTAGCACCCTGGGACGGACACCGCGCCTACGCCTAGCTCGCTGCCGCCCCGCCCGCGCGCTCCTTCCCTCCCTCGCTCTCCCGTCCGCAACCTTCATTGCGACCCACGCTCCCCAGCAACCCGGCTCCCGCTCCCTCCACCAGAGACGAGGACGATGGCGGCGACACCAACGAGGTAGGTCGTTCCTCCTCTGGATCTGAGCCCTCCTCCTCCTCTTCTGGATCTAGGCCCTCCTTCTCCTCCTCCTCTGAATCAAAGGGGCGTGGCGGTGGCTAGGGTTCCGGCGACCTCTGTGGTCCTATTCCCTCCTCCCTTCGACGAGCTCGAAGGTGATGGTCAGGGGCTGGAGCAGCCTGCACCTTGAACCCACACCCTTGTTGTTTTTGTACGCCTTTTTTTTTGCTGTTTCTCTGTGTTGCAAGGGGGATTTTCGTATGTTGCAATAGGTGATTTCATGTGTTGCAGAAAGGGAGTTCTAATGTCAGGATTGTTGCAATAGGGTATCTTAATTGTTGAAATTACCTTTTCCAAATGTTGCAGCACTAAAAGGTGATTTCAAGATGTTTCCATTTCCATGTTTCATAGTTGATTTTGCAACGTTGTAGTACTACTGTTTCAGATGTTGCAGTACAAAATTTTCAATGTTGCATTACATAATTTCCTATATTGCAGTACATATTTTTCGATGTTGCATTACAAAGTTTTGCGATGTCGTAGTATTTTACATTCTGATGTTGCACTACATAGTTACATATTTTTTGCGATGTTGAACTTGAAAGTGTTTCGTGCTTTTGGGACAGGGGGCGCGGTGGGATAACGGGGTGCGGTGGGGAACGGGGACAGGGGCGCCGTGGCGAACGGGGCTCCGTGGGGGACAGGGGGCGCGGTGCGGATGGTGGCGTGGCAGGGGAACGGGCCGCCGCGACGGGCGTGGGCGGACGCTCCTCCAGATTGGTTTGCTCATATCGAATTGTTACGTTGCTTGGTCGGGATCAGATGGTTCCTGGGAGGTTTTTTTCACGATCGGTCCATTCACCCGTTTTTCATGAAGAGAAAATTAGGTTCTGAAACACAATGCACGATCACGCTGGCGAGGAGCCTTCGTAATCACACGCGCAACACCTAACTACTGGATTAGCACATTACTATTAGCACATTACTTATTACATGACAACGGTGTTACTCGACCAAATCGGGCAGACAACGGCGAGCGTCTCGAAGCCGGCTTGAACCCAGTCCTCCGCCTCCCGCACCACGTTCCGGAGCAGCTCTTGAGTTCCCGCCACCGCTCTCGAGAACGTCCTGTTGTTGCTCTCCTTCCAAATGGACCAGGAGATCAGCAGCATCAAGGAATCGAACGACGGGCGTGCATCGTGGTCCAGCCTTTGCCGCTGCCGCCGCCGCCACCACAGACCAATGTCTTCAGCACCCTCAGGCACTAGCGCCGTTAGGCCTACCGGCGCCAGTAGGGAGAACCATAGCCCCCTGGTGATCACACACCCCAGAAATAGATGGTCGCTGGTTTTCAGCTGCCTGACCACAAAGGATGCAAGCATCATCATCCTGGAGGCCATGCCGCTTGCAACGGTCCGCGGTCCACAGATGACGATGGTGCGCAAGCCATAAGAAAAACTTGACGCGGGGTGCTGCCTTGGTCTTCCACAGCTCTTTAGCACCCAATAACACCGTCGAGCCGGCGAAGAAGGCTCGATAGGTGGATGAGGCCGAGTACTTTCCATCTGCTGACCACTTCCAGGCGAAGCGGTCCGCCTACAGCGGATCAAGCACCACACCACGCAGCAGTATCCAGACCTGGAGATATTGGCAAAGCACATGGGTGGTGAGCGCGCCCAGCGATTTTGGAAGAGTCCATCCTTGACTGACCTCCTCCTCCCCGCATTGGAGATCGCCGCGAACAGATTTGGCGCGAAGTGGCACAACGGCCCAACAGGCGCCCAGCTGTCCGTCCATAGCCTAGACGAGCACCCATTACCCAAGATCACCGTCATGCTAACAGCGGACATGGCGGCCACAGTCTTCTCCGCTTTTGACGGCAAGAGGCCTAGTTGCGCTGTCCTGCTAAGCCATTCCCAACGCAGCCTTAATGCGAATCCAAAGAAACGTAGATCAAGGACACCTAAGCCGCCCAGGCAAGTCGGCCTGTAGACTTGCACTTCCCTCCAGTGGTCGGACGACGCGCGCTCGCACCGGGAGCTAGGAGCGTCGAATAAAAAAAGATTTCGGAAGAAGGGCTCGACGCTCCTCCACGACCGAGAAGGATCTCCGTCACCCAGCTCCATGGGGAAGGCCAGAGGACTTTTTTCACTTGGCATTCGATGTCAGAACGAGCTCTGACTCGGGCTCTATAAGTGGCTCTCTGGGTCACGGCTCAAGCCCAATTACCCCTCCTCCCAACTCTGGATCACGGACTGTAGTGTCGTTATTTCAGCCAGGTTCTACGTGGTTAGAAAACCAATACGGCACTAATAATTATTATGTATTACATTACAGAACTGCAAGGCGAGCGTCTTTTTATCAGCATGAACACGGTCCGGCCCTGACAAAATCAGCCCGTGGATCGAAGTGGGCTGACCCGAGGCCAAGAGCCCACAGGACTCCCATGGCTCCCATCAAGCAGCGACTCCGACGGACGGCTCCCCACCGCCCTGCCGCTGCCGAACGCCACCGCCGCTGCGGGGACGGCTCGGGCGCCGCTGCTCCTTGAGGCGCCTCAACCGCCATCACGTTGGGGCAAACCAAACAAGCGCTTAAACACGCCGTGGCCGTGGTGCTTCTCGTTTTTGGCCAGCGCAAGGATGCTTGCTGTGATTGAAAGAAGCCAAAACAGTAGGGAGATGGGAAAGTTAAGATTGCAAATCAAACCAGTTTGAGCTGGAACAGAGCTTAAACGCAACAGATACTGGAAATGAGAACTTAAGCCTGACTTAGTACTACTATATGCTAGCTCATCTCTACGAAACACAAGACTCTGGGTACTATCCAACGAAACAGGGAACAAAAGCTCAGTCATAATAACATTTACTAGTATAAACAATGACCAACAGGATCCAAAATATGCTTCATTCCGTAGCATTTTGGTTTCCAACTATTAGCTTCATCAGTAATTAGTTGATCCATCTTACTCTGGTCCTGCATATCCAACAGAAAGGAAATTGAAGTCTCTGAAAACTGAAACCACAACATTGCATAAAAACGGTATTCTCTAGGAAAACTAGCACATTACCAGTGATTATACCATCAGTTATCTATCATGCTTAAAGTGCCGCAAGCTTGGCGATGAGATCTACGAGGACAGATGGGCAGATGCTTCTCAGATGGTCCAAACCACCGACCGCCATAACTTGTTTGAGATGAGCAGGGAAGTCCAGGAAGTCCAAGCATTCCTCCTTGAGCTGCCGGCAGTGGTGCTGCTCAGCTAGCGCAAGGATGGTAGCCACTGTGCTCGTGTTGATGTAGCTGCCCAACCTTCTTTCGCACACCAGCCTCAGCCCCTGGACACCATACCTATCTGCTGCCACAAGCAACTGCTGCCACATCACATTAGCATCGCCATCATTTCTCTCTCCCTGTTTTCTCTTCTTCATCATTGGCACGGTATCAGTGTAAATGAATGTAAGCAAGAGCTTGAACACTCTTGCTTCTATGTCGTCTATGCGTATGACATCGGAGGCTGTGTCCTTCTTCATCGGGCCGAAGAACTCAGCCCTGAAGACTGCGGATCTGGCAGCGAGCAGACACCGGTGTGCACAGATCGTCTCACCACTGACCTGAAATGTCACATCCATTCTCTCTTTGGACTCGAGGAGAGACAAAAAATCCAGGTGCATATCAGATTTTAGCACCACAATAGCCGGCAGAGCAAATGCAGTGGAATCCCCAGTGTTCAGCTTCCTAATGACATCTTTCAAAACAGAGGGGCACCTACTAACCAAATGGTCCAAGCCGTCGAGCGCCATTACTTCCTGTAGATTGGCAGGAGAGTTCAGGAAATCCAAGCACGCCTCCTTGAGCACTCGGCAATGGTGCTGCTCAGCTAGCGCAAGAATAGTTGCCACCGTGCTTGTGTTGATGTATGCACACAACTCTTGTTCACAAATTAGTGTCAGCCTTGGGAGATCATATCTGTCTGCCGCTTCAATCAAGTGCTGCCACATAATTTCATCTTCCTCTATGTCGTCGACCTCCGGCACTGAATCACTGTATATGAAACCAAGCAAAAGCTTGAACACTTGTTCCTCCATGTCCCTTACATGTATGACACCGGTGGTGGTTCCCTCTTTCATGGGGCCAAAGAGCTGTGCCTTGAAGACAGCAGACCGGGCTGCGAGCACGCACCGGTGTGCCCTGAATGTCCCACCCCCGACCTGAAACGTCACATCAGCACCGGCGCCGGACTGGAGGAGATCACCGAGATCTTGTTGAATATCAGGTGGAGAAGGCAACACATCGCTGACAGGAATAGGGCCACCGACGGCTTCGTTGATGTTAGCGTCCTTGTAGATGATGATGTCGCATCTTACGGTGAAGCTATCATTCTTCAGATAATTTGACTTCTCAAAGATTCCTCTTCTCTTTAAACATAGCAACTTGTAAGCATCACGACTACAGAATTTGTGATTTCCCTTTGCGCGACCAAGCAATGACTGGTTGTTGGTCTGGACCTGATCAACGACGAAGCTGAACTCATACTGCACCATCACAGGATCGACAACGTTGCCTTGATCAAGGAAGAGATAAAAGGACATGTAGCCATCGATATCTGGTTTGTAGGCATTGGGGTACCACTGGAGAATCCACCGGTAACCTCCAATTTTGAAATGGCGAGATTCCGTGCAGTCGCCATTGGGGATGTCCTTAACGAGAGAGGAATACCCATTGACCACTAACAGGTGGTACCCGCTGTAGGTGACGGCAGTAGTGGCTGAAGCAGGTTGCGGTGGCCTGACCTCTCCAACGACAGATATGCCAGCAAATGACAAGGAAGTCATGATTCCAGTACTGAAGATACAGATGGTGTTTGCTCAGATGCTGGCACCTGGTAAAGAGGCTAGGCAACATTTAGCTTGAACTAGAACGGTGGAGGAGCACTACCATGCACTTGTATATGTAGTTGTTGATGCCCTGTATACAGTGACGGAGCTCGTCAATTCTGAAGCCTAGGGGCCACTATCAAATCATGTATACCACCCGCACCAGATCAAAATACGGCCAGCATGGGTTCTAATACCGATAGATAACAAAGTTAGCTCATAAATGCATAAGTTTTGATGATATCTCAATTCCATATTTAAATCCACAACATAATTTATGGAAACATGAAAGTGGTTAAAAGATACCTAATTAATGATGGTTTGGTTCACCCTCGCCTCTCATTTCTTCATCCACAATGTTACCGGCATTAGAAATAACTTGGGGATTATTTTGCAAGCCATTTGCATTGCTAGCTGGTTGTTGTACTATTTCTGGTTCTTCGATAACCTCTGATTCTTCTGCCACTTCTGATTGTGTTTGTGCAGAAGGATGGGTTTCTGATTGTGCTTCTGCAGAAGGACGGGTTTGTGGCGTTGGAGCAGGAGGAAAAAAAAAGAAGAAGAGGATTTTAATGTCTTGGTCCACTTGATTACGCAACTCTATAAAAATCGACCAAATCAATTAATCATTCATGGAATTTTTAGATCGGGAAGAATTTTAGAATGTATTCGAGAATGAGGAACTGGAATTTACCAGGGCTAAAAGCCTCATTCAGTCAGACAAGTAGAGTATGCGATGTGTCCTGGTGGTGGTGGCTGGCGCGGTGTGGCACACTGTCTACGCCGGACGCCGCGACGGTGACGCTGGTGCCCGGGTCGCCGGCCAGGCGGCGCGTGAGGCTGCGGGCTGCGACCAGGCGCCAGGCCCCAGGCGGGCAGCCGCCCAGCGGGCCTCAGGCAGCCAGGCGGACAGCCTCTTACGGGCTGCGGCAGGGGCCGATTTGCCGGCCGGCGGCTGCAGCCTGCTGCTGGGTTGACTCCTTGACGGATGAGAGATGACGGGCGGAGAAATGGAGACGCCAAGTCGGGGATTGCGGCGGGCGGCGGGCGGCGGCGGGCGGAGAAGGGTCGCGGCGCAAGGGAACGGGACTCGAGCGAACGCGGAGTCGGGTCCTTTCTCTCCTCTCCACGTGCTGGCCCGGTTGGGAGTAAAAATTTGGCCCAATCTTTCCACAATGGATGCCTCGAAACATCCTCAATTCTCGGCGAAGCGAAAATTCCACATAATGAATTATAATATAATAAAATCAAGAACTGATTCTATCATATTATCATATTTCGGTTGATATCACAGTCATACATCGTAAGATTACAAGAATACAAAATATTATATTACTGGGGCACACACCTATTACAGAGTTAATCTAGCGGAAGACTATCGAGTGAAGGCTCCTCCTTTATGGGCATCATCAGAGTTGGCGTAGTGCAGCGTAGATTCCATCTCCGAACCAAACTTGAGCGTAAGCACGAGACCTCCCAATCCTTCTAAAGTCAACATCTCCGAGAAACAGGAAATCTGCACACCGCCAGATGTGTGCAGGCCATGGTCAGCACCGATGAGCTTTAGTGGAAAAGATAAACAAGGGATCTGGCGATCCTAATATTTGACTGTGGTTTACATCCTTAGTGCAAGAGAAGTAAATAACATTAGTAATATAGCAATAATATCCAGTTTTTAACACATTCACCACCACGCCATCCATATCCATCCACCAACCATCCATCCCAAACCATCTCCGCACCACCACACCATATCTCATCTCACACACTCGGGTCGACAGGCCAACTCCCTTTCGGCCTTGTCTCAACGGCCCGCAGCCCCAAGGCTCACGACCAGAAAATACTCCAACCCTGAAGGGAGAAAAGAAGGACTCATCTCCTATCTAGTTTAAGCGAAACCTAGGAAAGATCCATAGCCGATAAGTCGGCATATGTATCGATCGATCAACCATACACTCTGCAGAGGTTTTACATACCCACAAGATTAGCCATCCTCGGAGCCATGTATCTCCTAGGCATAATTCCGGTCGCTTGCTAGCCTAAAACGATGCCACCCTACCTCTCAGCCCTGGAACATCCCAAGTCTAGTCTGGGATGACTGAGACTGTGAGTCGTAGACAGAGCCGGGGCCCTCCGGATGTCAAGAGCCGGGTCCACAAGGCCTCCTAAAGTCTCGGAAGGATGTGGGGGGAAACCGCGCGCTCCGTACCTCCTTGCACACGTTCGCCTAGCAGTAGTGGCATCGCTCTACCAAGTAGTTCGACCGTCCCGCACCATATAGGGCGAGTGGGATGTAAATGATTCTCGGTGAATCTGAGTACTAGTAAGTCCTTAGGGATTGACCAAGCTAGAATGTCTTCATCAGGGTTTTCAGTTTACGTGCCACCACAGCACCTCCACCCTGGGTTCCTCCCATCACAGGTTCACACCCAAGACCACCTCCAATTACCATTTACCCGCCACAGGTATTACATATCCAAGTGTCCAGGTAGCACCACACGGCATGACTCGCCCTAGGCTCGTCGTGATTTCAGCTCGGTCGACACAACCCTCACTCTCCACGCACCCAAGACACACGCAGCACGCTCACACACCACCAAGTCCGTCACCCATAGCCAAACCATTCCCAGGGGTTCACCACCAGCATCCCATCCCTGATATAATGCGAAGTGGAGTTAATAATAAATATAGTGGTGTAATATGCAAGCAAGCAGGCAAGTAAGCACATATAAGCGAGCGAATGCGCAAGGCAGGGTGACGTGATAGAGTGGGTTGCATCAGGGTAATAATGGCTCAGGTAATAGCATGCATCAAAGTACTAGCAAATGAATAATTATAAAGCGCTAGCAGTTCTAGATATTATGCAATGTCTAATAGGATTCTCTAAAAGAGGGTGCTGCCATGACACCTGCGATGTCGAGGTAGTAGTGGTACAATTCTCCCTTCGTTGGTGTTCCATTAGCGGGGTCACCTCCTCCTGCGTTGACTCTATTCCGCAGTCCTTGTCGTCGTCCACGTTCTCTTGGTCCGATCGTCAGCTACTCCGTGAAGCGACACGCAAGGCAAGAGAGCACTCAACACTCGAAAAGACGACAAGACGTAGGAAAATCCAATAACACCAGTGAGGCAATAAGAGATACACGGCTTAGCCCTCTCGACGGTTGTCCGATTTCCTCGGGCCAAAGAATCACAAGTGGTGGTTTGCTAAGCACAAGCTTAAGTCATGGCCAAGCCAGTATGGCTTTAGGATAGATGGTTTAAGCCAAAGCTTATCCATAGCAACACCACGGCTCACGTCCTTCGATTCGGGCATCATGGAAAGGATGGGAATCAGGGGACGGGCCCAATGTAGGTAGAACAACGGGGTTCGGCTCTTATAGTCTTATCCCGTAAGTCACTACAAGAAGCAGACAAGAACGAATAACACTATTGTGACTTGGCTCCAATGTACTTCGGCTCGTCCGCTATGGTAGAAAGCGGTAGCGCAAAGAGATTGGACATCAACGGTTCCCTTCGATCCACACGACTCAATAACGTCGGGAGCCGAGAAGAGAGTCGTTCAACACGGCAAAAGATGCGGGGGTTAGCTAGGCACATCCATGTCATGTTCTCAGACACATCTTCGGGAAAGATGGTCTTAGACGGCCGATCGGGTCAACACGCACGGGTCCGAGGTACGACATAGACCATAGCTTCGCTAACCCAAAGGGAATAGTCCGGTCTTTGATCCAATCGTCATGGGCAAGACGGAATCGAACAGAGCGGGCTAACGGTGCAACAAGAGCAAGAACAACAAGGGACAAGGTCTACTTCTTCCAACACTCGCGCCACGATGAAAGACGGGGCATTGGAAGGAAGCGACAAACACCAAGTGCGCAAACCACTCGTAGGGTACCTGACTTAGGTGCACTGGCACTAAGACATCTCTAGGGTTCTTAGCGGCGCGGTTGTCACCGCAAGAACCACAGAAATGCTATGGTCCAAATGGGTACAACCATACAAGAGCTTAAGCACGAAAGAGAGAAACACGAGATTCACATTCATTTGATCCACTTGCCATAGCAACGACGAGAATTGAATGAATGAAATCAAAAGGGCAATAAACACCAATCTAGCAAAAGGCTCATTCCACATCTTTACTGGATCGATGGGGATTGAGAACCAAAGAGAGAGAAGAATGGAATCTGTACTCTTTCGACCAACTTGTCATGGAACGGACGAAGGTTGGAGAGAAGGGGTACAGTCCCACGACCCAAACCAACTCATAGGGCATCACGACCGTGCAACTAAATGGCACAATGCTATTCCCTCGGTTCACAGCAGTGCGGTTGTCACCGCTTAGGTCCGAAGGAATGCTATGGTCAAGGTGGTGCAATCATATAAGGTGGCTAGGATAAACACATGCGAAAAGAGGTAGAGCCCGATGGTCATGGCGAGAGGACTCGCGGCCATGAGCTTATCCTACACGAGTCGACATCCGTCTTCTACAATCATCATATCCCGACACGTCCACTAAGTTAGGCCACAAAGGGCTCATTGTGTGCGGGTGATATCCGCACCAATGTTCATTCCACAATGGCCAGGTCCTAGGGCCGAATCGGATTACTAATATTTGTAGTACGTCGGAGACAACTAAAAGCGAGGGAGCGAGTTATGCTCGCCATTATGGCCACGGTGGGGCGAACCCACTACCAAAATGGTCGAACGAGGTACGATCCCTCGACTGGCTTGAAGGCACGGTCCTTAGGCAAACAAGCACAACATAAGAACAAGAATCCCGACAACCCAACATAAGAGCTAAGACACGACCACGCGAATGGAGTAGCACATATCCATAGCAAGAAAGGTAGATAGATAGACCTGCATAAGGGCACGATGTAGGCATTTATAGATAGGTAAAGATCGTGTAGAATAAGTGTATGAACGAGTGTAAGAATGAGCAAGAGAGGGCTTTTGTG